TAGCTACTTCGTTCATAAACAGTCTTCAATACGTCCATCTCATTCGCAGTTCCTCCAGGTCGCACAACGTCGGTGTGCAACGTCGTATATCGCTTCCCTTAATCTAGAAGGTCACCATGACCTGATTACAGAACGGTATGGTCGCCACCGAATTTTGAATCGATTCAAAATTCTAAATCACATTCCCCGTCCGGGAAAGTCCATGAAGTTCGTAAATAGACCGTAGAACGAAGTAGCTACGTTCATTTCGTTCGCACACAGTTTAAAACCAGTTTTGAAGAACGCAGTGGCAACTTGCTTGGTGTGATAGCTATATTTTTGCTAACTCGTTGATAAACGTCCTCAGACAGTTCAACTCGTTGTAAAAACGTCCCTAGTAGGCTTGAAGTACGACGGTTCCGCTCCTAGTACGTCCAGCTCGTCGTAAGTAGGTTGTCACTCGTTCTAATTGTAGAACGTGATGACCAAGATAACATTTTGAGCATGTTTCTAAGTTCTAGAGGACCTACTCGTTCGAGTACGTTCGATGAAGTTTGTAAATAGACCCCAAACGGTTCTAAGTACGTCCGTACTCAGTTTAAAACTATATAAAATATATCATTTCTAGATGAAAGTAATGCACAAAGTAGTTGTTTGTCTTTATTATTACTTTTGGATCACCCCTCGTAGCTTGATTACAACTACCGGTTACCGGATTAACCTATCAATTTTCGTTAAGCTTGTATTCGCGAATGCAACGCTGGGCTTCCGGCTACGGGATTATCAATGTTCATAAAGCTTGTATTCGCGAACGCAATGTTCGGCTTCTAGCTACCGGATTAACCAATCAATTTTCACTTATCTTGTATTCGCGAATGCAATGTTCGGCTTCAAGCTACCGGATTAACCTATCAAATTCAATTAAGCTTGTATTCGCGAATACAATGTTCGGCTTCCAGCTACCGGATTTATCTACCAATTTTCATTAGCGAATGCAACGTTCGGCTTCTAGCTACTTGAATAACCAATCAATTTTCACTAAGCTTGTATTCGCGAATGCAATGTTCGGCTTCAAGCTACCGGATTAACCTATCAATTTTCATGAAGCTTGTATTCGTGATTGCAATGCTCGGCTTCAAGCTACCGGATTATAACCTATGCATTTTCATTAAGCTTGTATTCGCGAATGCAATGTACGGCTTCCAGTTACGGCATTAACCTATGCATTTCCATTAAGATTGTATTCGCGAATACAATGTTTGGGTTCCAGTTACTGGATTAACCTACCAGTTTTCATTAAGCTTGTAATCGCGAATGTAATGTTCTCGGCTCCCGACTACCGGCTTAACCTATCATTCGCCATTCGTGTCTGACTGAGCGTGTATATATTCGCGAATGCAATTTACACCTGTCGGCTTCCAAATACATCTACTATTTTATGAGCAACTCATCTAATTATGAATAGAACCTGCCACTATTCAATTCATATTGAAATGAGTTGATCATAAAATAGTAGGTTAATTGGGTAGCCGACAACCGAAATAAGCATTCGCGAATACAAGCTAAAAGCGTGCTGCCTCATTTGTAAAAGGACTTAAGTGATTAACAAATTGCATTCGATATGTTGGACGAAAATGCAATCATTGCCTTAGACTCCTAGCACACGTTATTCCACCATGACTTGTACGTTGATTATTTACTTTAATAATGATGTTTTTCAGTCTTTCAGTTATCAGGCAAAATGTCTACAAAAATACTCGTTTTTACTTTCAACAGAGTTTTTACATGAAGGTTTTAATAGTACTTTATTAGTATTTTAGTCACACGTTGTAGTAATTGCTGCAGATACCTTTAAAGATGATGAAACGCTGATTAACCTATTAGCCAGACGATCCAAGCGTTAGATCTTCAATCACCTTGCACGAATAGGATTGTGTACGTTGTCAGCAAATCACTATTAGTGTTAAAATACCGCACCTCAATCAGATTTATACTGTACTCAATCATCGCTTATCACGACATTCGTTTTATGTATTTTCTCTAAATAATTGGAAAATATTTCTTGGAAAACCATGCCAATGTTGCCCTAACGTACAATCTTAATTTATTATTGGGAAAAATGAGATGCTGACATAACTGATCAGATATCCAAGATTTAAGACTCGGAATGTCCACATTTGTTAGGTTTTAAAGGCAAAATAAGATCGATAGGGAGTGATAGTATTGCAAGTAACAAGTAAACCTACCGATATATTTTTACAGTCTCAGATACATAATATCTCACAAAAGATCCACCATTTGTTATCAGTTCACTGGTGATCCACTCGATTACGCTGGTTACCGAAACGGTTCGTTTTGGTAACAAAATGTCGGAACGTCGAAGGTACGATTTTTCTTTTTTCCTTCAATTTACGCTGTAGGCAGAATCCCCACGATGTTTTTCTCACAAACGTGTATCAGTATCATATGTTTTAGAAAATGTTCATGTTTGCGAAAAAATAGCTCAGAAGACAACGGAATCGTCGATTTACTTCCTCACTTAAGTTAAATAAACGGTTTGGGTTAAAAGTGCAGATCTTAACTGTTTTTCGAAAAACCGTTTATGTAACTTAAATGAAGAATTAAATCGACGATTCTGTTGTCTTCTGAACTATTTGTTCGCACATATGTACATTTTCTTAAACATATGATACTGCTACACGTTTGTGTTAAAAAATGTCGTGGGAATTCTGCCTACAACGTGTGAAATAAGGAAAAGAGAAAAATCGTACCTTCGATGTTCCGACATTTTGTTACCAAAACGAATCGTTTCGGTAACCAGCGTAATCGAGTGGATCACCAGTGCAATTGGTGAAATTCAAAGTGCAAAATTGAGAAAAAATGTTTAAATTCTCGTTGTTTGATCAATTATCGCCCATAGCTGATTTCAGGTTTCTTTTAATTCTTATCAAATAAATTCTGTATACGTCCAGATAGAAGTGTTCAGACACCCACTAGTAGCCACAGATAATGGCCTGTCTATGCCTACAGTTGTTAAAACCTTTCTGTAAAGTCATGACCATGCAATCTCTTTGGTCGAAAGATGGAATGAAGACAAAAGTAGTTCACGTTGCGTGAAACAAATGGATTCAAAACGAGGGAGAGTTCAAAGGGGACACAAGAATCCACTTTAACACACAACATGTCAAATCCAAATCAAAGAAGACAACAAGAACACTTCAATTATCGGAAATATGTCCTTTTAGCTTGCCATTAGTGAAATTACCATCACATCAATAAATCAAGTTTTACGTATACATACAGATAATAGTATTTTAAGTATTTTGAAGGAATGATTGCAGAAGCTACGTGACACCCCGGAGCACATTCCAATGTCCGTGACATTTTATTCTATCCGAATCGCCTATTTGACAAACATACTACATTATATTATACAGGCTGTCCGACTTTGGATATATTCGAGCATTTCTTTGTATTCATTTACAATCGGAACTTAATGTATTTGCATGACATAGCATTAAAAATTGTACAATGTAAATTACCTTCGATGGTGCCTAATGTAAAATAAATGTAAAAAATATTTATAAAATAATATTTATTAGTCTAATATATTAAGAAAAAATGGAAAACATGCATCAATCAATAACACTTAAACTACAGCTAGACCTGGTGTAAAGGATTGGTATCGATATGGTGAACTGAATTCAACAATGATTTTCTCTTAAACCAATTATTGAAAACATTCTGTAAAAACACGGTCCTTTATGTGGTTTTGACTGATTGACAATTTAATGCGAAAATTGTTTATATATATTTTTTATATAAATGTTTTTGTTTACTTTTTTAGTACAACTGTTACTTATTCGAATTCCTTTTTACCAAATTTTGAAAAGGAAATAAAATATCTTTCCGAAGCTTGTTGGAAAAAATAGCATATACAACATTTTCTTAGACCTCTCAATATTATAGTTATACGAAGGAAATTTTGGTTGATTTAACAAAAAGTACTCAAAAAATTAAAACAAAAAAACAAAATAGGTAAAAATTAAGATAAACCTTTTATTTCATTTACAAGATACTTTTTTTAAATCAACCAAACTTTCCTTTGTACAATTACAATATTGAATGACCTAAACACGTTGTGTTTATGTCATTTTGTTTCATTTCATTCCGAACATATGATACCAATAACAAAAGAAGTGTCTGATGTATATATATTTATTTCAAATTATATTGTTACCATTCAAAAGATGACCATTAATTAAATTGAGGATGTGTAAGATTTTCAGAATTTTTTAATGACTGGTTTTAGAGAAACGTGTGTTCAAAAATTTCACCATATCGATACCCATCCTTTGTAATGGTACAATTAGATAAAAGACAAAGCAGATAAAGATTGAAAATCAATGTGAACATTGCCTAGAAATTGACACTAAATCGTATGAGTTATAATGGAGTTACACAAGAATCATAATATGATCCAACGAGCTGTTATCTAATGAAAATGTTCCCAGCGTCCTGTTTTCACAACACAAAGGATAAGGAGAGACTCTCTCAGATGCTACAACCTCCGCCATTTGAAAACCGTCGATGGAATGCTAATATCAATAGTACAATCGGAAAGCTTATTCTGGAAAACCTTTTTAAATTTTTTAAAGAAAGTAAGGTACAAAGGGTACAGTCCATCTAATGGCAGAAGTGACACATCGCAATCCGCTGTACACTCATTCGCGATGCTAGTTTGGTTTCCTCGCTTTTAACTCATGCGTCGCGCTCGTATTCCTAGCGCGATTACATCGCCACGCGACTGTAGTGAGTCAGCGTTTACCTCGCACAGCGTTCGCACTTTTAACGTTCACCGCCGCCAGCGTTGCTTTCGCTCGTCTAAATGTTCTATCACGTATCAAATCAACTAATCCTATATTGTTTTTCTGTTTGTGAAACAATATGTATTAACATGAGTGAATCAAGGCAATTTTTCTTATATTCTTTATTTCTACCCACATAAAATATAAAATAGTGCGTACAATAACTCTTTTTAATGGATTTCTTTGGTGGTATTACAGTAATATGGACAACACAAAGGACATACAATAATAATACAAATTAATTTAAATATTAACTACCAATAATCTCCATTAATTTACTTCACAGAACACTTAACATTTCACGGTAATTTGGTTGTTTACTCGAAATATATGTCAAGGAAATCATCTTCTGTAGTCCTAGTTTCTAAAACCTTTTGTCATTTCATGCATCTCATTGTCTCTAAAGGGAGATTATATGATTGAATGTTCTCAGCTTTGTTATGTAAAACCTAGTGTTAATCGAATGACTTAAATAGGATTCATAAATACATTTATCCTTTACATCACAATATGTTAAGAATAAATGTTTAGCTTTATCTAAATCTGATCGCCATTGCTAAATTGACGTGATGTACCTTTTCCCGGGATCTTGTAGGTTTCTGGCACATCTAGGTATCTAATCATCGTAAGATCAACGTTGTCACAAGTAATATTGGAAAAGAAACCACGATAGTTGTGATACTTGAGAGTTCAGATAATGCCTCATGAGGTGCGTATTCCTCTAGGTTCGCTAGGTTTGGTTCAATAGACGATGTGTTGTCACAATATTGTCTCTTTATGCTGTTTGCATGCCAGGTTTACAACAGATCAGCCTAACGACACCTTTCTTGAAATCTTGAAACTGAATCGAGTACAGAAGTGGGTTAACTGCGCAGTTGCTAAAAACTGCAGCGGCAGCAAAGTTGTAGAAGTCGCCTTGTAGTGAAAGTGGAACCCCAGACAGAAAGAGGAAATCAAATATCTGCTTTGGTGAGGTACAAATTACATTAAGAAGTGCAACTAAAATCAAGGTTTTGATGGTGTTGCGTCGAGCCTGTATCAGGTTAAGACGTCGCAGATCCGACGCTGCACCGACGTTTAAATTTGTGTTGGTATGCAGAAACCAAGCCATTCTCCCATAGCAAACAGCCATGATGATAAGTGGAATGTACCACATGATCACAAAATTACAGTAACTATAAATGTTTTGGATCAAAAGTCTTGTACGAAATGTAGCATACACACCACATTCACCATCGCGATAAGTTGTACTTATAGCTAGAGCTGAGAAAAATGACGGTCCAATGAGCCAAACCAATCCGAGAATAACCTTTGTCTTCCCTTTTGTGAAAATGCGTTTGTGCTTGAATGGGTACACCACTGCGATGTATTTCTCCAGCGTCATGGCAATAAGGTTATAGGTTGAAGTCGACACCAATGCCCAAACGAGAAAATGCGACTGCACCACGACGCAAACGAAATGCGCAACTACTCCATTTGAGCTGACAGGGATGATATCAATTAAATAAGTCATAATTATCGCTAAAGAGGATAATAAATCGATAAATGATTGATGAATTATGAATTTGTTTGTTGTCTTTGAACAAAGATACTTAAGGCTGAGCATTACTATTAACACGTTGACGTTCCCGATCGTTCCGATCGCACCAATTGCCACATACACAATTCGCATTGTTTTGCTGGCTCCAGTATCAAAACCTGTACCGTTGTTGTTCAATAATTCAGTTTCGTTTCCAACGGTTAAGTTTGTGGTCGTATCAGACATGTCAGAGAGTTGCGGTGCTACGCTGACATTCATATCTAGCACTGGGGTTTTCTGATATCAAGTGTATGATGTAACAGTGGTACACTGCAGGTATGGCGAAGAAGGGTAGTAGCTGATGAATTCGCAAATGTGTCAGTTTGTTGGAGTGGTAAGCACAATCTACAAACATTAATTAAATTTCTTTTACATCATATTCTTGTTGATTTGTAATGTGTACGTGTAGGTCCCTATCAAAACTTTAAACCATCTTGACTAATATTGCAAATTCATCAAGTGTTATGAAAGTGTAATGTGATACGCAAACGAGTTTAAAAATGAAAAAGTAGTTGGTCGGAAAAGGGGACAGCTAATCAAAAGCGCAGAAAATGTAGTTCTGAATTTAAATATTAATTCTTATTGAAAATCCCATGGTACAAAAATATATGTAAAACAGGACAATTCTTCAAATTTAGAAATGCCAGCAGCATTACTTTTCTTTAAGATTTATAACAACTTATGGGAGTTTAATAATAGTTTGTTGACTGATCCGGAGTATAACCTGAAAATAAAACGATGCATTAACGAATTTAAACTCAAACATGGAAACCTAAACAATAAAGGTATTTTGTGGGAATTAATTAAATTGGACATCCGTGCCTCTACAATCACCGAGTATTCAACACACGCGGCAAAACTGCGTAAAGAAAATATTTCTAAATTAAAATCGGATCTTGATTCCCTCGAACTAGAAATGAATAACCATAACGTAAACGTAAACGATGAAACCAAAGAAAAGTACTTTACAACTAAGTCAGATGTCGAGAGCATGAGTTATGTAGTGTACATGTATGCCCAGGTTAGCAGCCATATTGAAAACATAAACCAGTCAGCCTTATTTTCATCACAAAGGTTAAGTTTTAGTGGTGAGCCCACACTCCCACAACAATGATATTTGCAGAGAAGCTACTTTACAGTCTCTGCATTATAAAAGTTTCAATATCTTTTTTGTGGGAGAATGGGCTGATGGTTAAATTTTCAACGAAAGGAAATGAGCACCGTGCTAAAACATGATAACAAAGATTAGCATTGGTAAACTTCATACATAGCTAGATTTTTTAATGTTGTACTCCGAATGCTTGTATGCCATATAATAAATGTTCCATATAATAAATTCTATGTAATGATACGTTTTGATATCATTTTGATGGTAAACATAGTGTGTACCCATATTCAGACAGCCTTGTGATAGGGGTTCTTACTGCCAATTTTTCAAAGAAACTGAAAACTAATGCCACTTTTTGAAATTGCACACCTCAAGAAAAAAGATTTATCTACAACTTGCAATCGGTTTTGAAAAAAATGGAAGAATGAGTTTTTTGGGAAAAGTCTAAGTTGACCAATAGTCTGTTAAATGGACCTGTTCTTTGCACTAAAGCAATAGCCAATAGAATCAGGAAAGTTTTGCCAACTATAATTAATCTTGACCAAACATCTTATATTGAGGGATGATATATTGGGGAAAACATACGACTAATCAAAGATATGATAAACTATACATCCAATGAGAATATTTCAGGTATTCTTCTCCCAATAGGTTTCGAAAAAGCGTTTGATTCAGTTAATTGGAAATGCATCGAAAAAGTCCTTACCCTTTTCAACTTTGGGGAAATGTTAATAAAATGGGTTAAAACTTTTTACAAAAATATACAATCTTGCACTTCAAATAACGGGTATGAATCTAGCATGTTTTTCCAACTCGTGGTGTACGCCAAGGTTGCCCTCTATCAGCTTACCTTTTTATTATCGTCGCCGAAATTCTAGCAACGTCCATATGACAAAATGTCAATATAAAAGGTATAAATGTTAACAATTTCGAGATAAAAGTATCCATGTTTGCGGATGATACTACATTGTTCCTAAAATCCATAGACTCAACCGAACAAGTACTCAACTCTTTAAAATCCTTTTCGGAAATTTCTGGGTTGAAAGCAAATCTAAATAAAACCGAAGGACGATGGTTGGGAGCCTTTAAAAATGACCCCCCCCCCCCCTTTATACAACCGCATTGTCAAACCTCCAAAATTCAAATAAACAATGATAAGTTTAACGCCTTAGGAATATGGTTTAGTCATGATATGAACGAAAGAAACGACTTAAATTTTTCTTCAAAAGTAAAAACAATAGAGAACCTTTTCAAAATCTGGAACTGGAGAACTTTAAGCTTGATTGGAAAAAATATAATAATCAGAGCTCTTGCAATATCAAAACTAACATACCTTGCATCAACCATTCTCTTTCCAAACAATATCATCGAACAAGTGCAAAACCTTATTAATTATTTTATGTGGAACGGCAAACCACCCCTAATTAGCAATTATACGACAATAGGAGAAATAAAAAATGGAGGAATCAAATCAATCCATTTCGACTCGCAGATAAAAGCGTTACAAATACAATGGGTGAAGAGATTATATAATAACGACGGGGCCAAATGGAAAGTTTCCTCCTATAAATTATTGCCTAATCTCGACTCAAAAGAAATTTTTCAAGCAAAATTCGAAGATGATGCCCTTAATAATTTTCGAGCTTTTTATCTCTCAATTATGAAAACCTGGTGTAAAGTTCACAACGATAAACCCTATGATAAAACTACAATAATAAATGAAACAATTTGGAACAATAAATGGTTAACAATAAATAATGGAACGGTAAATTACAAATTAAATACCTTGTAAAAGAAAATGGAGAACGACTAGGATACGATGATTTCATCCAAAAGTACAATATCACTACACCTTTTGTGACATATTATGGAATAACTCAACGGCATGCTATCCCAAGAAATTGGAAAACGCTTTTGCGAAATGAAAATGAAAATATTAAAATTCTAGGTGCAAATGACATTCAAGTAAAAAAATCGATTATAAATATAAAACACATCAACACAAAACGAATATACTAGTATATTGTAAAATATATTTTTAAAGAACCAACGGGGAAACGATACTTCAATGAAAAATACAATCTCTCCGAATATGAATTATGGAAATCAACGTTTAGATTACCCTTTGAAGTTGCCCGTGAACCAAAAATACAAAGCTTTCAATATAAATTCTTATTAAACTTAACGCCATGCAATTTATTTCTGTTTAATAAAAAAAATCTCTGCATCAAACTTATGCAACAAATGTAACCTTGGCCAATTTGACGATACTGTGCGAGCTGTGAAATACGCAATGGTATATTTGATCACACTGGCACTGAATCGGCCAATTCAATTACACGCTTTCTAGCAATGATATAATAATATACATATATTTTTTGAAACCTTAAAAATTAATGCAAATAGCTTTCAATAGTTCCACGTTCTTAGCATTTATGTCTACTCACTCGTGTTTTACTCACCCGTGTTTCACTCACTTGTCCCTGGCTGATTAGTTCTGATGGTGGACAAGTTGTGTCCTGGCTTAAATATGAAAGTTGGGCACTTCGTTTAGCACTCATCTGTCCGATTTAAGAATTATCAATATATTTAAAAATATGATTTCGCCATGAACATGTCAAAGTATATAATGTTAAATACATGTTTATCATATCATTAGTTCTGAAGTGTCACAAAAGTGACACTTCAGTACAATACATATATAAAAATGTGATTTCGCCATGTGATGTTTTACATGTTTATATCATTAAGGGAAATTCATTGTCATGTACTGAAAGGCTCGCGCGATAAAAACAACGGATACTGCCCGTCAATGTAACCTGATAATGTCAAGTGCACATGGAATGTGGCATGAGCGAACATTTCACTTAAGTGGGGTAGTGACCGATGAAGGGCCAAACGGAAAGGGTAAACTAGGTGCAGGTGTCAAGCCAATCGCACAGCTTCGGGCATCGAATTCAGACTGGAGAATAGTCAGAGTTGGTATAGGCATGGCAAAACACTCTTTGTTTATTTTTAGGAGACCCTTTGACAAATTATTATATACACGTTGAAAAGTAAATGTAGGGTGCGAGAATTATATTATAATATAAATCTAACTCTGATGAAGGACCTACGGTCCTGTGCTCACACAGAGTAGAACCTTTAGAGTAGGGTGGTCCAAAATATGGCGAAAAACCAACTTTCTTTCGGATCATCTTCCTCATTTGACTTACTGTTGTCCATGACCTAAAACACCTGCACACCAAATTTTGAGACCCAAATTCCATGGGAAAACCCACGCTTCGACTGAAAAATTCGGTTATTTCATGATTTTTTGCTATTTTCGATAAATTGCCATCTCCTTTTTCCTGGTATAAAATGTTTCTATTTTTTCATAATAAACATTTTTGTAGGACTCTTTATTACTTAATAATACTAGGAGCCCAAACACCAAATTTTGAGACCCAAATCCCATGTGAAATTTACCCATGCTTTGACTGAAAAATTGTGATTTTCACAGTTTTGTCAAATTTTCAATAGATTACTGTCTCCATTTTCCTGGTATAATATGTTTCTATTTTTTCATAATAGTTACTTAATAATACTAGGAGCCCAAACACCAAATTTTGAGACCCAAATCCCATGTGAAATTTACCCATGCTTTGACTGAAAAATTGTGATTTTCACAGTTTTGTCAAATTTTCAATAAATTGCTGTCTCAATTTTCCTGGTACGATATGTTTTTATAATAAACATTTTTGAGGACTCTTTATTACTTCATAATACTAAAAACCCATACACCAAATATCCACCAAATTTTGAGACCCAAATCCAATGAGAACGTTACCCATGCTTTGACTGAAAACTGGTGCTTATGATAGCTTATGATGTCTGTTTTAGGGGCATTTAATATGTTAATAAACATTATGGTAATTCCTTCTTAATCCAAAGAAACACCTAAATATCAAGACTTTAAGTCTTATTGAAAGGCGACAAATTCAGTAGTTTGGGGAAAATTTAGGATCTTTTACTTGTACATTTATATACTGTGGTTAATATTAAGAAGTGATGACTCGACAGCAACTCAAATGCCTTGAAGATTTGGTTTGTTGATTTCAGTAGGGATACATCACAGGACTTTGTTTGGATTTGTGTGAGATGTCATATTCTTTCTCACATCTTTGTGAGGTAAGGTCAAATATCAAATCTGATTTTCTTTGGAGAAATGATTT